TCGTTTTTCATCCCCCACCGCCAGAAGCATTCTGCAGACCAAAAACAGGCAAAAATGCCCCCATTTGGGGGAAAATGGTCCATTTTTTGGCTTCCGGGGTGTCTGTGTGCCTCGTTTTTCATCCCCCACCGCCAGAAGCATTCTGCAGACCAAAAACAGGCAAAAATGCCCCCATTTGGGGGAAAATGGTCCATTTTTTGGCTTCCGGGGTGTCTGTGTGCCTCGTTTTTCATCCCCCACCGCCAGAAGCATTCTGCAGACCAAAAACAGGCAAAAATGCCCCCATTTGGGGGAAAATGGTCCATTTTTTGGCTTCCGGGGTGTCTGTGTGCCTCGTTTTTCATCCCCCACCGCCAGAAGCATTCTGCAGACCAAAAACAGGCAAAAATGCCCCCATTTGGGGGAAAATGGTCCATTTTTTGGCTTCCGGGGTGTCTGTGTGCCTCGTTTTTCATCCCCCACCGCCAGAAGCATTCTGCAGACCAAAAACAGGCAAAAATGGCTTGTTTTCTGGCCAAAAATGGGCCATTACTCCATTTTTGGCCTCCTGGGGCAACTGTTCGACCCATTTTTCACCCCTCCCAACCTCCAAAAGCATTCTGCAGGCCAAAATTGTTGGCTTTACTTTTCAGTTCTAGCCCAGGGGTAAGTCCTGAACTTGGCAGAAGGGTGGGTGGGGCAAAGTGGGCGGAGCAGCCTTGTGGTTCTGAATGGGCTGGATTAATGGTTTTGGCGGGCTGCATGCCGCTTATCAGCCATAGTTGGAGGACCTAGAAATATCAACAACATTTGTTTTCCCTTTTTCCTCATATGAAGCAAAATACTGGTCATAAAATTGCTCTGCTTTGTCTATTGTATCCAGTCAGTCATTTTTCCATCCAGGTCATCAGTATTCCCTCGGGTATCAGCAATCTGAAGTTTACTTCATGCTTAATTGGTTGTCTTGTCAAAAATTGGCATTGTTTCCTTGTGTCTCTTACTCTTCTGGGTATCTGTTTCAGGACTACTATTTCTCTCCCTTTATATTTCAATGGGTCATCTCTTGCTCTTTGCAGTATTCCTGCTCTTATTGCCTTCTTTGATAATCTCATATGCACCTCTCTGGGGAATTTATTCCTTCTTGCATAGCTTGTGTATTTTAAATATTTTGTCCATCCCAGCAAACATTTCCTGTTTGCTCACCTCCAACACATCTGCCAACAACTCTGCCATCTTTTCAGCAAGATCTTCCCCCTTTTCCTGCTCTATATTCTAAAATCTCAAAAAATATTCTGCTCTCTCCATCTCAACATGATTATGGATTGCTCAAGATCCTTGTCTACTTAGTCCATCTCTTCCACCTTCTTATCTGTTTATTCTGTCCTCTTCTACTTTATGAATCCGCTGTTCATTTTTAGTAATTATTTGTTAGATGTTATCCCTTTTATCCTCCATCTTTTGAATTCTTTCTGTCATGTCATCATGATTCTTGGATATGGTTTCTTGTAATAATTGGAACATTGATTTCATTTCTATCTGGAAAGTATTCATTTTTTCTTGCTGCAAAATGCTGTCTAATGAGAGTTGACTCGCTGGGCTTGATGCTGCTGCTGCTGTTGCTGATAATGGCACAGATGTATTTTTCCTCCCTATTTTGCTTAAATTTGTATTGTCATTTACATTATTTTAAGTAATAAGAAATTTTAAGTAGTAAGATGTTTAGCAGAAACAATCAATAATAAATCAAATGGTACTGCACAATACTCAATTTACAGAATACACCCCAAAACAATCCCCCACAAAATTCTCTTTCTTATCCCCTCTTATTTTCAGTCCCCAAATAACTTAACACTCTTAGGGTTCACAAAGCCAAAATATCCATAGTCCAAAGGTTTCTTCAAAAAGGTTGTTCTCTTCTTAATAAATTTGTAATCCACAAAGGCTCACCAAACCCCAATATTGTGCCAAAAACATTTATGAGTTACCAAATAGGAGAGCTAACAAAAATGTTCCACTTGATTTGCAAACAAATCCTGCTGTTTTCCAGCTTCAGTTTACTCAGTTTATTTAGAGTCGTTATACATTCAGATAACTACAATGTTTAAAAAGTCGCAGTGTTGTTTCCACTCTCTTTCTCTGCAGTTCTCTGTAAACAATTTGCAGGTGCAGACAGTTTATCTAGTAGCAATGTTCTATCAACAATACACAGCCAAGGTCAGGTCTGTAAATTTCACTTTCCTTTACCTACACTTCTAGGTATTTTTTCCAGCCTGTAGATGACACGGTTGCTCTTTCTCTCCTATTCCTCTCGTTTTAGCTTAACTTAAGCCAAAATATTTTTTGGGAGGGGGTGGGGTGGGGGGTCCCAGTGTCCAAATTTTACGTTCCAAAAAGGTTTTCAGTACAGTAAAATCCAAGTAATATTGTCATTAAAGTAACCAGTCCAAATTTCCTCATTTTAAATTTATTTCATTTAAATAGTTCACTTTTCTTGTCAGGATCTGTTTTCAGCTGTTATGCTTGCTAGCCACTATTCTTAGGGGATGGGAGATAAATAATTCCACCTCTTCTTTTGTAGTTCCACTTTCACCCAGGCCAAATATTAAGGCGAAAATTCCTCAACAGAAGTTGGAAAATTCTCACCCAGATCACCCAAATTGTTCTTCAATCTTTATTCCATTCTTCTCCGGTTGGGCTGTCACAGCCTTGGTCATGCACACAATGGCCATCTTTTTCTTCCTGCTGGATTGAGAGCTTCCTATCAATCAAACAAGGAGTTTGCGATCTCCTTGTGATCCTCATAGTGTCCTCTCTATCCTCATCAACCTTCCAGGGTGACTTCGGTCCCAGAAGACCCTCCAGCAGGTAGAATTCAGCAAACTTCCACGGGGCTCCATGAAAGTGCACTGTAATGCCACAACGTCAGCTCTGCCATTCCAGGAATGAAATATCTTTTATTGTGTAAAATTTGCATGTAGAGAATAGAATATATATACCTATATTTTGAAGAGTGAAGTAAATATGCCAGGTATATAATTGAAATTAAAAAAAATACTGAACAGTACTTCTTAACTTTCAACAGTTTGTTTAGTGACTATTCAAAGTTACAACTTATAAAAGTTCAAAGTTTTTCATAGCTATGACCTTTGCAGCATCCCCATGATCATGTGATTGAAATTCAGATGCTTGGCAACTGACTCATATTTATGACTGTTGTTGTGTCCCAAAGTCACACGATTCCTTTTGTGACCTTCTGACAAGCAAAGTCAATAAAAAAGCTAGATTCACTTAACAACTAGGTTACTAACTTATTCAATTGCAATGATTCACTTAACAATTATGATAAGAAACGTCATGTGCAGTGGTGGATGGGAGGCTCATCGCGCAGAATGAGGTGAGGCAAGGTGGAACAGCTGTTGCCAGAAAGTTGGCCAGCACATGTTTGCATCCTTTGTGTGCAGGAGTCAATGGTTTCCAGCAGGAGCTGCAGCCTACCGGCCCCATTGTTGGCGCACTCTGCGACTCCAGAGCCCACTGCTACCACTGGGCTGGTAGTCTAAGTAGCAGGTGCATTGGCAGCATCAGCATCAGGTGGAAGCGTGGGGGAGGCATATGATGCGAACCGCTGGATGCGCTTACTCCGTCCCACTGTCTGTTTTTGCTTGCAGTTAGAGAGGTCACAGCTGGTCATCTTCTCGCCCCCCTCGCGGGTTTTGCCCTTGGGAAGCATGTGGACTGTTCTCCTCACGCACCCAATACACCTTAGCCCTGTTGCGGGCTGCAGCCGCCACTCGACAAACCTGCCCAGCCCAAAGAAGGCGAAGTGGCCAGCTAGAAAGGCTGGGTAGAGGTGGTAGAGCACGCCCAGGCCCAGCAGGCAAAAGACAGCCACTTCATGTGGGGAAAGTTGGAACCCATTGCTGTCATGGTCACCCAGGCCCAGCAGAGATGGGGGGGAGGCATGCGATTCTGCCTGGGCCTGGGTGGCGATAGTGTTAATGGGGATCCGGTTTTCCCCACTGATGGTGGCTGTCTTTTACCTGCTGGGCTTAGACATGCTCCACCACCTCTACTTGGCCTTTCTAGCTGGCCACTTCGCCTCCTTCATGTTGAGTGGGCCTGGTGCTCTGGGTGATGACAGCAGCAGCCTAATGTACCTGTGCGAGCTGCTGGCAGCCTCAGTGGTGGTATTGGCCCACAGTGATGCCAAAGTGCATTGGCTACGCGAGTGGAATGTGCTCCACATGCAGGCCAAGGGCAAGATCCACAAGGGGGCCAAGATGACCGGCGGTGACTTGCTCTCCAATCGCAAGCAAAAACAAGATGGGACGGAGTAGGCGGGCTGATGGTGTCTGGCAGCATCCTCCCCACCCTCTGCCTCACTTGTCTCAGCCTGTGCATGCATGCACACATGTGAAAGGCCGGCGAGCAGGGCATGGAGATGCTGGTGCGGGCACGACGCTGATCTGCAACCTGGTGGCAGCCATTCAGGCCGGACCATAGCCAGCCTTAGATTTGTGGTGCCACCTTGGCACCACCCTCTGGGCATGTGCATAGGAGGCAGTGAGCGAGCGTGGGCTGGCATCCTGACTGAAAGGGAAGTGTTCAGAATGCAATTCCCAGGGATGCCAGGCCCCAGGTGCCTTTTTCTATGCACGTCCGAAGCCAAGGCAGCATCACAGATCACTGGCTGCAGTCTGGCCCAGATGGCTGCCATCAGGTTGCAGATCAGCATCCAGTTGGCCTGGTACAGGCAGAGGCCACGCAGGTTGGTCCTTTGCTGTTTATTGGGCAGCCCCACAGGCCAGATCTAACCACCTCGTGGGCTGGATCTGGCCTGTGGGCTTTTGAGTTTGACACCCTTGGTCTACATTAACAAAGTAGAGTTCCAGTATTTCTTTAAACAATGTTTCCTGACCTGTCTATCTCAAAGAGGTAGAATATACTATTAAAGAAAACACGAGGCTTTGAGTATTGAAAATCCTATTAGAAATATACAAACATGGAAAAAACCCCACAAGTTTGTTGCATATTTAAGTAACAACAAAATGGATTAGTACGAATTGTAGAATATATTCAATTGAGCTTCTGATACATAACATGTAATCACAGATTAGGTTTTTCACCAAAATGGCATTTGAAAATCTTAAAAATGGAACTAAAATGGAAAATATGTAAATTGTGCTACCAGGTCTCAATTGACCATAATTTAACTACCAGACTTGGGGGCTGGGCAGGGCAGGGCATATGTTTGAAAGGGGACTATAACTTTTATGCTTTCTACTTTATCTTTCGGAAACAACTAACTTATTGCATTTGAAATAGAATGCGCTGTATAAAACCAGATAGCAAATACAAATATATGTCAGAAAATATGACTGACTTTGTTCCCATGTTACCACACACTTTATAACAAATCCAGTTTTGGCTTTATGTATTATAGTCTATTTCCTTGCTTTGTTTTAACTACATGGAGTTTTTCTGTTGCTGTTTTATCAAAATATGTCTTAACAGTAAAACCCATGTTTGTATTTGTATTTTAAGTGCTTTGTATACCTGTACATAAAGGTGTGTGGCAACTACAATTCATGAAAATGGATTAGTATTTGCAAATATGTTTTTTAATTGAAAATTTCTAACTAAAATATTTTTTCTTGAGATAAGTACTTACCTTGTATTTTCCTTTGATAATGCCTTCAAACAATCTTTCTTTTGTACCATAAAAAGGTAAACAACCACTAAGCAGAATAAAAAGAATAACTCCACAGCCCCATACATCTACAGGCTTTCCATAAGGCTCTCTTTTTACTACTTCTGGAGCCATAAAATGAGGAGTTCCTACACGTCCTAAAATAAAATAAAACATGTATTGTTTTTAAAGATGGCAGAGGAATACAAATCAAAATTTTACATTGCATTTATCATATTTTATTGATTTAGTTATGTGATTTATCTGCCAACTCTATACCAGCAGGCTTCTAGATAGTGTACAGATATTAACAATTATATAGCATTACAAGATCCGATAGCAGTATACACATGGTTGCATGCTAATCAATCATTCACCAAAGCCAGAGCTCCCAGCTTCTGCAAGGTTCTGAAAATAGAACCATCTTCATTTTGGGGACCACCCAAAATAGCAATAATGCTTAGATTTCTATACTGCTCCACAGTGCTTTACAGCCCTCTCTAAGCGGTTTACAGAGTCACCATATTACCCCCAACAATCTGGGTCATTTTACCAACCTTGGAAGGATGCAAGGCTGAGTCAACCTTGAGTCTGGTGAGATTCGAACTGCCAAATTGTAGGCAGCCAGCAGAAGTAGCTTGCAGTAGTGCATTCTAACCATTGTGCCACCGATATCATAAATGTGATATGTTAATGCACTATAATTGAGACATCAGTGCCCAAATATTCTTTCTTAATTCCACTCTTATAGTAATAGTAGTGACTGGAGACCACACCCACCTGCCATTTCAGAGTCCCACATCTGGGCTACTGAGGCAATTTTTAGGGGGAGAGGCCCTAACCTTTCCTTCTAGATGATGCAATTTCCTCTCAAAAATTCTTCTCCTGCACTGATACTGAAACAATTTTAAAGCCTCACTAATTTATATGCATTTATGTAAAACAGAAAGATAGACTGCACACATACATGAAGAAGAAGAAAGCATATTGTGAGTTTGAGTTTCATTTTATTTATATGCCACCCTATTCTCTATGGGACTCAGGGCGGCGCACAAACCCGAAGGAGG